TTTCAGTTGTTTTGCATTTGTTGAGCAGTGCTTTACTTCCAATTATGTGGTCAATTTTAGAGTAGGTGTGATATGGTGCTGAGAAGAATGTATATTCTGTGGATTTGGGGTGGAGAGTTCTGTAAATGTCTATCAGGTTTGCTTGCTCCAGGTCTGAGTTCAAGCCCTGGATATCCTTGTTGATTTTCTGTCTGGTTGATCTGTCTAGTATTGACAGTGGAGTGTTAAAGTCTCCCACTATTATTGTGTGGGAGTCTAAGTCCTTTTGTAAGTCATTAAGAACTTGCCTTATGTATCTGGGTGCTCCTGCATTGGGTCCATATATGTTTAGGATCGTTAGCTCTTCTTGTTGTATCGATCCTTTTACCATTATGTAATGGCCTTCTTTGTCTCTTTTGATCTTTGTTGCTTTAAAGTCTATTTTATCAGAGATGAGAATTGCAACTCCTGCTTTTTTTTTGCTTTCCATTAGCTTGGTAAATCTTCCGCCATCCCTTTATTTTGAGCCTTTGTGTATCCTTGCATGTGAGATAGGTTTCCTGTATACAGCACACTGATAGGTTTTGGATTTTTATCCAATTTGCCAGTCTGTGTCTTTTGATTGGTGCATTTAGTCCATTTACATTTAGGGTTAATATTGTTATGTGTGAATTTGATACTGCCATTTTGATGCTAAGTGGCTGTTTTGCCTGTTAGTTGTTATAGATTCTTCATTATGTTGATGCTCTTTAGCATTCAGTGTGATTTTGGAATGGCTGGTACTGGTTGATCCTTTCTATGTGTAGTGCCTCTTTCAGGAGCTCTTGTAAAGCAGGCCTGGTGGTGACAAAATCTCTGAGTACTTGCTTGTTCGCAAAGGATTTTATTTTTCCTTCACTTCTGAAGCTCAGTTTGGCTGGATATGAAATTCTGGGTTGAAAGTTCTTTTCTTTAAGAATGTTGAATATTGGCCCCCACTCTCTTCTGGCTTGTAGTGTTTCTGCCGAGAGATCTGCTGTGAGTCTGATGGGCTTCCCTTTGTGGGTGACCCGAGCTTTCTCTCTGGCTGCCCTTAGTATTCTCTCCTTTATTTCAACCCTGTTGAATCTGACGATTATGTGCCTTGGGGTTGCTCTTCTTGCAGAATATCTTTGTGGTGTTCTCTGTATTTCCTGCAATTGAGTGTTGGCCTGTCTTGCTAGGTGGGGGAAATTTTCCTGGATGATGTCCTGAAGAGTATTTTCCAGCTTGGATTCATTCTCTTCGTCCCCTTCTGGTACACCTATCAAACGTAGGTTAGGTCTTTTCACATAGTCCCACATTTCTTGGAGACTTTGTTCATTCCTTTTTGCACTTTTTTCTCTAATCTTGGTTTCTCGTTTAATTTCATTGAGTTGGTCTTCAACTTCAGATATTCTTTCTTCTGCTTGGTCAATTCGGCTATTGAAACTTGTGCTTGCTTCGCGAAGTTCTCGTATTGTGTTTTTCAGCTCCTTTAATTCATTCATATTCCTCTCTAAGTTATCCATTCTTGTTATCATTTCCTCGAATCTTTTTTCAAGGTTCTTAGTTTCTTTGCATTGATTTAATACATGATCTTTTAGCTCACAAAAGTTTCTCATTATCCATCTTCTGAAGTCTAATTCCGTCATTTCGTCATAGTCATTCTCCGTCCAGCTTTGTTCCCTTGCTGGTGAGGAGTTTTGGTCCTTTCTAGGAGGCGAGGTGTTCTGGTTTCGGGTGTTTTCCTCCTTTTTGCGCTGGTTTCTTCCCATCTTTGTGGATTTGTCCGCTGGTCGTCTGCGTAGTTGCTGACTTTTCGGTTGGGTCTCTGAGTGGACACCCAGACTGTTGATGATGAAGTGTTTCTGTTGCTTGTTTTTCCTTCTACCAGTCTAGCCCCTTCGCTGTACGACTGCTGAGGTCTGCTCCAGACCCTGCTTGTCTGGGGTGCACCTCTAGCAGCTGTGGCACAGCGAGGGATGCTACCAGTTTCTTTTTCTGCTATCTTTGTCCCAGGATGATGCCTGCCTAATGTCAGTCTTTTGGATATAGAGGGGTCAGGGAGCTGCTTGAGGAGACAGTTTGTACTTTATAGGAGCTTAATTGCTGAGCTGTGAGCTCTGTTGTTCATTCAGGGCTGTTAGGCTGCTATGTTTGATTCTGCTGCAACAGAGCTCATTAAAAAAACCCTTTTTTTTTTTTTTTCTCAAATGCTCTGTGTTAAGGGGTTTGGGCTTTATTTTTGTATGTCAGTTGAGGTCCTGCCCAGCTAGGACGCAGACTAGCCACTGTTTGCCTGCTGAGTCTCCGCCCTGCTGTTGTGTGATTCGCCCTGTTCCTGCAGGCTCTGCTGTGTTCTCCGCCACGCCCTGCTGCGGAGTCTCTCTGTTGTAGCGGGTTGCCTCGGCAATGGCAGGCTGCATCAGCAGTGGGCGTGTATCTCAGTAGGGACGGGTTGCCTCGGCAACGGCAGGCTGCGTCAGCAGTGGGCGTGTATCTCAATAGGGACGGGTTGCCTCAGCAACGGCTGGCTGCATCAGCAATGGGCGTGTATCTCAGTTGGGGTGGGTTGCCTCGGTAATGGTGGACGCCCCTCCCCCTCAGAGCGTCTCGGGCCGTCTGCACGGGGCTTGTTTGAAATCGCGGTTTTGTTCGTCCCACTGGGCCACCCCTAACGCTCTGTCCCTGCAATCCCCTGGACTGGCCCACTGTCCAAGTCTAGCTCAGTCTCAAGTCCAGCCCTCTCATGTCTCCGGTTGCCGGTTCAACGGGGCACCCGGACAAGCGCGCCCTGTGGGGAGCGCTGGGTAGGGCCGGCCGCCGCCACCCCAGCTGCCAGCTTCGCCAGGCGGAGGTTCTGCCTGGCATCCCGCGTCTCCTCTTCACTTGGGAATTTCCCCGTTCCGTGGGCAACAAAGATCAGTCTGGAAATGCAGCTCAGACTCACCTCTCCGTGGACACAACGAGAGCTCCAATCCTGGGTTGTTCTCACAGCGCCATCTTGAGTCTAGTCTGAATTATGTTTATACTTTTTATAATAGCTGCTTTAAGTCCTTGTCTGCTAATTCTATTATCTTTTTCATTTTTTAGTCCATTTCTATGGATTGATTTTTCTACTGGTTATGAATCATAGTTTTCTGCCCGTTTTTCTGTCTGGTAATTTTTTATTGGATGCCTGTCATTGAGAAATGTAAATTGGTGATTGCTAGGTTTTATTATTTTACTCTAAATTAGAATCTTATTGCTTTTTTTTTTTTTGAGACAGAGTCTCACACTGTTGCCAGGTGACAGGCTGGAGTGCAGTGGCACGATCTTGGCTCACTGCAACCTCCACCTCCCGGGTTCAAGCAGTTCTCCTGACTCAGCCTCCCGGGTAGCTGGGACTACAGGCACATGCCACCATGCCCAGCTAATTTTTTTTTTTTTTGTATTTTTAGTAGAGACATGGTTTCACCATGTTGGCCAGAATGATCTCGATCTCTTGACCTCATGATCCGCCCGCCTCGGCCTCCCAAAGTGCTGGAATTACAGGCTTGAGCCACTGCACCCAGCCAAAATCTTATTGCTTCTTTTTTTTTTTTTTTGATACGGAGTTTCGCTCTTGTTATCCAGGCTGGAGTGCAATGGTGCTATATCAGCTCACCGCAACCTCCGCCTCCTGGGTTCAGGCAATTCTTCTGCCTCAGCCTCCTGAGTAGCTGGGATTACAGGCACATGACACTATGCCCAGCTAATTTTTTTTGTATTTTTAGTAGAGATGAGCTTTCACCATGTTGACCAGGATGGTCTTGATCTCTTGACCTCGTGATCCACCCGCCTTGGCCTCCCAAAGTCCTGGGATTACAGACGTGAGCCACCACCCCTGGCCTTTATTGCTTCTTTTGAAGCTTGTTTGTCCTCTCCCCTCCCCACCCCTCCCCTCCCCTCATCTCCCTTTCTCTCCTGTACCCTCCTACTCTGTTGCTCAGACTGGAGTGCAGTGGCACAATCTCCGCTTTCTGCAACCTCTGCCTCCCAGGTTCAAGCAATTCTCCTGCCTCAGCCTCCCAAGTAGCTGGGATTATAGGTGAATGACACCATGCCCAGCTAATTTTTGTATTTTTTAAATAGAGATGGGGTTTCAGCATGTTGGCCAGTCTGGACTGGCCTCGGGTAATCTACTTGCCTCAGCCTCCCAAAGTGCTGGGATTACAGACATGAGCCAGCACACCTGGCTGTTTTTGTTTTTCGGGGTTTTTTTTGTTTTTGTTTTTTTTGATAGGGAGTCTCACTCTGTCTCCCAGACTGGAATGCAGTGGTGCTATCTCAGCTCTCTGTAACCTCTGCCTCCTGGGTTCAAGTGATTCTTGGGCCACAGCCTCCCGAGTATCTGGGATTACCGGTGTTTACCACCAAACCTGGCTAATTTTGTGTATTTAGTAGAGATGGGCTTTCTCCATGCTGGCCAGGACCTCTCAGGTGTGAGCCACCATGCCCAGCCCTGTATATTTGTTTTGTCAGAGTGGCATCTTACTAGCCTTTACCCTATGATTCATATATAATTTAGCCCTACTTTACTATCAAATGCTTTGCTTATTATGAGGTCTCTTGACTCTGGCTAGTGGAATGTGAACTACTCCTATCCCTCTGTGGCTTTGGGATTTGTCTATTTGCTGCTTTCTAGTAGTTCTTTCCCTACCTTCCTGGAGTTTAACTCCATGTCAGTACTCAGCCAAAGATTGGAGGTACAGGTCACGTGTGCTCTGTCTCTGAGGGTGGAGCTTTGTCCTTTCCAGCACTCTGTTCTACAGTTTTGCGGCTTGACCACCCTGAACTATGATCTCTATCTCAACAAAACTGCTGCTTTCTCTTTGGCTTTCTCCTACCTTCATTGTAGTCTGTAAACTGCCCTCATTTGAATACTTTCTCTCAGGGAAATACTTTTCTCACCTTCCTGAATTGCCTGTTGTCCCGTGCCTAACAACAGTTCTCTTAGGCATTTACTATACATACTAATTTTTATATCTTTTTTCTTCCAGAACAATATAGCTGAAGTACAAGAATTGCATTCCGAATTAATGTGGAAAGATTTTATAGACCACATCAGTAGTCTTCTACACAGTGTGGAAGTGGAAGTCAGTTACTTTGCAGCTGGAATTATTGCCCATTTAATATCCAGAGGTGAACAAGCTTGGACATTGAGTCGTAGCCAGAGGAATTCTCTTCTGGATGATTTGGTAGGGTCATTTGATGTTTTCTTGAAGCATACCAACAAAAGACATTCATAGTGGTTAAACTATCAAAGCCTCGTAATGTAGTAAATAATGCAGTGCAAATTAAATGTTGTAATCCTTTCTTATATGTCTTGTGTCTTCCAGCATTCAGCTATTTTGAAATGGCCAACTCCAGAGTGCGAGATGGTAGCATACAGGTAATTAGTATCATAAGTAACAGTAAGGCAGTAACCTAGTCTAAAAATCATACCTGGGAGTCATTGCTACTAGATGCATAATTTTTCCCTGAGGCACCTCAGTATGGGTTTCTATTTATTTATTTTTTTGAGACAGAGTTTCACTATCACCCAGGCTCGAGTGGCGTGATCTCAGCTCACTGCAACCTCCACCTCCCAGATTGAAGCAATTGTCCTGCCTCAGCCTCCCGAGTAGCTGGGATTACAGGCGCCCACTACCACACCCGGCTAATTTTGTATTTTTAGTAGAGACAAGATTTTACCATGTTGGCCAGGCTGCTCTTGAACTCCTGACCTCAAGTGATCCACCTGCCTAGGCTTCCCATAGTGTTGGGATTACAGACGTGAGCCACGACATCTGACCACAAGTATTGGCATTAAAAGAAGCAAAGTTGGCCGGGCGCAGTGGCTCATGCCTATAATCCCAGCACTCTGGGAGGCCGAGGCGGGTGGATCATGGGGTCAAGAGATTGAGACCATCCTGGTCAACATGGTGAAACCCCATCTCTACTAAAAATACAAAAATTAGCTGAGCATGGTGGTGCGTGCCTGTAGTCCCAGCTACTCGGGAGGCCGAGGCAGGAGAATTGCTTGAACCCAGAAGGCGGAGATTGCGGTGAGCCGAGATAGTGCCATTGCACTCGTCTGGGTAACAACAGCGAAACTCCATTTCAAAAAAATAAAACAAGAAGCAAAGTATTTTTCTACCATCTATTACTTTCCATTGTTTTTTTTCATTCCACATTTGTTGAAGACAAGTGCTAGGAATTTGTTAAGTGCTCTTAAAATTCAAAGATGAATAAGACAAGGTGTCTGGACACAAGAATCTTCTATCCTTATGGGGGAGATCAAATGTGGATCCAATAAAATGACATTATACTAGATGTGCATAGAGTGTTATGAAATTAAAGATGAAGCTACGAGTGGTAGCACATACCCATAGTCCCAGTACTTGGAAAACTGAGGTGGGAGGATTGATTGAGCCCAGGAGTTTGAGGCTGCAGTGAGCTGTGATTGCATCACTGCATTCTAGCCTGTGTGACAGAGCACGACTCCAACTGTAAATACACACACACCCACACCTTTCAGAGGAAGTGAGTTGTGAACTGAGTGTTGAAAGATAAGGAGAGGCAGGAGATTTTAGGAAGAAAAGGCATCATGTCAATGCAGGGAGGTCTGAAAGAAAATGACACATTGAAGGTATTAGAAATAGCACCAGACTCGTGCCCAGGGCGGTGGCTTACGCCTTTAATCCCAGCACTTTGGAAGACTGAGGGGGGCAGATCATGAGGTCAAGAGATCAATACCATCCTGGCCAACATGGTGAAACCCCATCTCTACTAAAAAATACAAAAATTGGCCGGGCACGGTGGCTCACGCCTGTAATCTCAGTACTTTGGGAGGCTGAGGTGGGTGGATCACGAGGTCAAAAGATCGAGACCATCCTGGTCAACATGGTGAAACACCGTCCCTACTAAAAATACAAAAAATTAGCTGGGCCTGGTGGCGTGTGCCTGTAATCCCAGCTACTCAGGAGGCTGAGGCAGGAGAATTGCCTGAACCCAGGAGGCGGAGGTTGCGGGGAGCCGAGATCGCCCCATTGCACTCCAGCCTGGGTAACAAGAGCGAAACTCCATCTCAAAAAAATATATATATACAAAAATTAGCTGCTCTTGGTGATGAGTATGTGTAGTCCCAGCTACTCAGGAAGCTGAGACAGGAGAATTGCTTCAAACCAGGAGGCGGAGATTGCTTTGAGTTGTACCACTTCACTCCAGCCTGGTTGACAGAGTGAGACTCCATCTCCAAAAAAAAAATAATAACAACAAAAATTAAAAAGGAAAGTGCATATTGTATGCCTGTTTATAATTAGATAACTTGATAAATTAGTAATTACCTGATTTAATTTTTAAATTAAAAGTATTTAATTTATATTCACTTATTTTTGTTGTTTGCTTCATGCTGATGTTGCCAATGTTTTTTTTTTACTTCCCTGACTTATGTTCTACCTATTTTTATTCAGACCAGTAGAAAACAAAAGGGATGGCTGGGCACAGTGGCTCATGCCTGTAATCCCAGCACTTTGGGAGGCCAAGGCAGGTGGATCACGAGGTCAAGAGATCGAGACCATCCTGGTCAACATGGTGAAACCCCGTCTCTACTAAAAATACAAAAATTAGCTGGGCATGGTGGCGCATGCCTGTAACCCCAGCTACTCAGGAGGCTGAGGCAGGAGAATTGCTTGAACCCAGGAGGTGGAGGTTGCAGTGAGCCAAGATCGCACCATTGCATTCCAGCCTGGGTAACAAGAGCGAAACTCCATCTCAAAGAAAGAAAAAGAAAAAAGAAAACAGAAGGGATAATTGTAATCATTTTTTATGGTGTTCTACTAGTTAGTTATCACCTAATTTCTCTATTTCTTAGTTTCCAAACCAAGGTCTGCTTATCTTCAAATGTGTATCTTTAAGACTAAAAAAGTGCTTTTGGAAAAAGTTTTTCTCTTTTAGTATCATGTTCTAATCACCTTACATCTTCTGTACCAAGATGTGTCTGAATGCACTCTTTTCTGAAATGGTTAAGACAAAGATATTCTGTAGCTCATTTATATTAGTCTAAATAAAACAGGATAAAATTTTGAAAATGAAAAGTTTAGGAATCTCTGCTTTAGAAAATGATGCTAAGTATGGGATGTAACTTTGATTCTTTTCTTTTGAACCTTTAGGTCCTTTAATCCATTTTTCCCATTACTTGGCTGTTTCACAACACCAGGAGTCCAGCTGTGGGCAGTCTGGGCCATGCAACATGTCTGCAGCAAGAATCGTATGTACCACAAAAGAGAACTGTGTGTTTTTTTTCTTTAATTCTCATTTCCCAGGAAAGCTATTTCGAAATTGTGTATTAAAGTGATTTTTGGCCGGGCACAGTGGCTCACGCCTGTAATCCTAACACTTTGGAAGGCCGAGGCAGGTGGATCACCTGAGGTCAGGAATTCAAGACCAGCCTGGCCAACATGGCAAAAACCCCATCTCTTAAAAAAAAAAAAGTGATTTTTAAGAACGCTGACTTAAAATGTAAGGCAATTTTAAGTTATAAACTTAAGGTATTCTTTCAGAATGAGCGTGGTATAACGAGATACTGAATGACAGTGGTGACTGAGACACTGTTCTCACCTCACGGAATTTAAAGATGAGGAGACTACAGTGAGTCCATTTGTTTAGTAAAGGTCCTAAGTAGATCCACACTGTTTATGGTACATTCCCAGGCCCAATTCTCATTCACCCAAAATTCTGTTGTTCAAGATGTCACTCTCAGCACCCATGGTTTCTGAAGAAGCAAAGTGTCTGAATCAGCTTCCAAATTATTCTTTAAAATCTGTGATACAGCTCTTATTTATTTATTTATTTATTTAGAGACACAGTCTCTCTCTGTCACTGGTGGTGGAGTGCAGTGACAAAGTAACAGCTCACTGCAGCCTCGACATCTGTGCTCAGATGATCCTCCTGCCTCAGCTTTAACTGGGACTACAAGCACAAGCCACCATGCTTGGCTTTTTTTTTTTTTTTTTTTTTTTTGTATATTTTGTAGAGATGGAGTTTCATCATATTAGCCAGGCTGGTCTAAAACTCCTAGGCTCAAGCAGTCCGCCTGCGTCAGCCTCCCAAAGTGCTGGCATTACAGGCGTTAGCCACCAAGCTTGGCCTAGTTATTTATTAATATAAACTCATTCCACAAATGGTTTGACATAAGAATCACACATAACCACTTTAATAGTAAAATATAAATTTTTAATTTCTTTTTTTTTTTGAGATGGAGTCTCACTTTGTCACCCAGGCTGAAGTGCAATGGTGTGTTCTCGGCTCACTGCACCCTCCGCCTCCCAGGCTCAAGCAGTTCTCCTGCCTCAGCCTCCAGAGTACCTGGGACTACAGGCCTGCACCACCACACCTGGCTAATTTTTTTTTGTTTATTTTGAGATGGAATCTTGCTCTGTCACCAAGGCTGGAGTGCAGTGACGATATGATCTCAGCTCACTGCAACTTTCGCCTCCTGGGTTCAAGCAATTCTGTGCCTCAGCCTCCTGAGTACCTGGAATTACAGGCACCTGCCACCACATCCTGCTAATTTTTTTGTATTTTTAGTAGAGATGGGGTTTCACAGTCATAGCCAGGCTAGTCTTAAACTCCTGACCTTGTGATCCACCGGCCTTGGCCTCCCAAACTGCTGTGATTACAGTCATGAGCCACCATGCCTAGCCAAATTTTTGTATTTTTAATACAGACAGGATTTCACCATTTTGGTTGAACTGATTTTGAACTCCTGACCTCAGGTGATCCACCCACTTCAGCCTCCCAAAGTGCTGGGATTACAGGTGTGAGCCACTGCAACTGCTACTTTTAATTTTAATTAAAAATAAGGAAAAATAAATTTTCAAAAATTGTAGGGGCCAAGCGCAATGGCTCATGCCTACAATCCCAGCACTTTGGGAAGCTGAGGTGAGTGGATTGCTTGAGTCCAGGAGTTTGAGGCCAGCCTGGGCAACATGATGAAACTTACTTCTACAATAGATTTAAAAGAAATTAGCTAGGCGTGGTGGTGTGCCCCTGCAGTCCCAGCTACTTGGGAGGCTGAGGTGGGAGTGTCACCTGAGCCCGGAAAGTTCAGGCTACACTGAGCTGTGATTACACCATGCATTCCAGCCTGGGTGACAAGAGTGAGACTCTCTCAAAAATAAAAAAGCCGGGTGCAGTGGCTCATGCCTGTAATTCTAGCACTTTGGGAGGCCAAGGTGGGTGGATCACCTGAAGTCAGGGGTTCAAGACCAGCCTGGCCATCATGGTGAAACCCCATCTTTAAAAAGAAAAATTTGTCTGGGTGTGGTGGCTCATGCCTATAATCTCAGCACTTTAGGAGGCCAAGGCAGGTAGATCACGAGGTCAGGAGTTCAAGCCCAACCTGGCCAACATGCCCCATCTCGACTAAAAATACGAAAATTAGGCCGGGTGCGGTGGCTCACGCCTGTAATCCCAGCACTTTGGGAGGCTGAGGCAGGTGGATCACGAGGTCAAGAGATCAAGACCAGCCTGGTCAACATGGTGAAACACTGTCTCTACTAAAAATACAAAAAATTAGCTGGGCATGGTGGCGCGTGCCTATAATCCCAGCTACTCAGGAGACTGAGGCAGGAGAATTGCCTGAACCCAGGAGGTGGAGGTTGCAGTTAGCTGAGATCGAGCCATTGCACTCCAGCCTCGGTAACAAGAGCGAAACTCCATCTCAAAAAAAACAAAAAACAAAAATACAAAAATTAGCTGGGGATGGTGGCGTGTGTTTGTAATTACAGCTACTCAGGAGACTAAGGCAGGAGAATTCCTTGAACCTGGGAGGCAGAGATTGCAGTGAGCTGAGATTGAGCCACTGCACTCTAGCCTGGGTGACAGAGCAAGACTCTGTCTCAAAAAAAAAAAAATCTATGATATAGGGAAAATAGTGAAATGTAGATTATAGGCCATGCATAGGGATTTTTGTGGCTCTGCTGTAAGTAATAAGCTACATGGTTCTCCATATAAGGGGGAAAAACATTCTATATCTTTGTCAAGGGAGATGGGGGAGGGAAGAGTAAAGTTTTTGTGAGAAGTTAACTGCGAATTAAATTTCTTATATTGGACCTTAATAGGGGACATGCTATAAAGGGCCTTATAGGATATGCGAGAGTTGTTTTTACCAGTATTCTTATAGCAGAAGTAGTATCATTTTGTTAGATCTTCTTTTATATTCTTTGATGAAAACTCAGTGTATACCACAAAAAGGCAATGCAGTAAAAGCTCTTCTATGTCAGAGAAGAATAATTTGGAGTCTGGGCATGGTGGCTCATGCCTATGGTAGGAGGATCACAAGGTCAGGAGTTTGAGACCAGCCTAGCCAACATGGAGAAACTCCGTTTCTACTAAAAATACAAAAAATTAGCCGGGCATGGTGGCATGTACCTATAATCCCAGCTACTCAGAAGGCTGAGGCAGGAGAATTGCTTGAACCTGGGAGGCAGAGGTTGCATTGAGCTGAGATGGCACCACTGCACTGTAGCCTGGGCAGCAGAGCAAGACTCCATCTCAAAAAAAAAAAAAAATGGGATGTGACAGAGAAAACTGCCTTGTACCCACCTGAACCCCCACCTTATCTGGCTCTTCCTACTAGATTACCCAGAAGCAGAGCTGTTCACTCATAAATCAAAAACTGCCTCTTCTACCTTAAACTGTCTCTGCCCTAAAGTCTTTTTCCTTTTACTGTACCCACAGGTTCTGAGAACGCCCAAGTTTCTTAACAGTCAATTCCATCATATTCCCAGCCTCTAAACTATAGGCTCCTTTCCTCATGACTCAAGGAATGAACCTTTCACAGCTCAGTAGGAGAAAATAAAATGTAATAAGTAAATAATAGTGCATTTTTATATGATTATTTATTTCTGTGACTACTTTTAGGTATTAGTGTTATTTTGACTATAGAATGATAGCCCTGAAGAATTTGTTCTAAAATGCACTGTAATTTGGGGATTGTTAGAATATTTTGTCTCCAACTCAGATAGTTTAGGTTCCTACCTTGTGGGCGTATTTTGCTTATATTTAAATGGAATTCACTTCTATTTATATTAAAATGTTTTAATGTGACTGGGTGTGGTGGCTCACACCTGTAACCCCAGCCACTTTGGGAGGCTGAGGCAGGCAGATCACATGAGATCAGGAGTTTTGAGATTGGCCTGACCAGCCTGGTGAAACCCCACCTCTACCAAAAATGCAAAAATCTATCCAGGTGTGGTGTTAGGTGCCTATAGGCCCACCTACTCAGGAGGCTGAGGGAAGAGAATTGCTTGAAACCGGGAGATGGAGGTTACAGTAAGCTGAAATTGTGCCGTTGGACTAGAGCCTGGGCGACACAGCAAGCTGCAGTGAGCCATGATCACACCAATGTACTCCAGCCTAAGCAACAGAATGAGACTATCTTAAAAAAAAAAAAGAAGGCAAAGAAATTATTTCAAAAATTCGAAAATTGTATGTGCAGTATGAGTGCCATTAAGTTTTTTAAAATCATAGGAAATGCAGCCTGGCCCTGTGGCTTATACCTGTAATTCTAGCATGTTGGGTGGCTGAGGTGGGAGGATCGCTTGAGGCCAAGAGTTTGAGACCAGCCTAGACAACATAGTAAAACGCCATTTCTACTGAAAAAAAAAAAAATTAGCAAGGGGTGACGGTGTGTGCCTGTATTTCTGGCTACTCAGGAGGCTGAGGCACAAGAATCACTTGAACCCAGGAGGTGGAGGCTGAAGTGAGTCGAGATTACACCACTATACTCTGGCCTGGGCAACAAAGCAAGACTCTGTCTTTAAAAAAAAGCATAGGAATGCATAAAAACATAACAATACTTTCCTGCAAAACAAAACAAAAACAATACTGTCCAGTGATTTTGGGTCAATATCAGGTACTTGTTACTGTTTTTATTTTTATTTTTTAACACAGATTATATAAGTTGTAAGGTTAGAGAAATCAGTCAAGCTAGCTATTTATTGGTTGAATGTGTAGGCCTTGCACTGTAGACGTAACATCAGTATAGAGAAATTTATCAAGCTGTAGCATGTTAGTGATCAATAACAAAACAGCTTTAAAAAATGCCTCCTAAAAGTCATTTTTTTGTGTGGAATAATTTTGTTTTGTTTTTGTTTTTTTAAATGGTTAAGCAACTGGATGTGTGGAATAATTTTTAAGTGTTTTAAGAAAAGCTATTTTCTCCTGTTTTGTGTTTGTGTTTTTTTCCAGCTTCAAGGTATTGCAGCATGCTGATTGAAGAAGGAGGATTGCAGCATTTATACAACATCAAAGATCATGAACATACTGATCCCCATGTCCAACAGATTGCTGTGGCCATTCTGGACAGCTTAGAAAAACACATTGTGCGCCACGGGAGGCCACCTCCCTGTACAAAACAGACCCAAGCCAGACTAAATTGATAGCCATAAGTATTGGATAATTGAATCACAAGAATCCTTTTTGTGATTGGTCCCTTTGAAATATCTTACCCTCTGTGATGTTTTGGGAGTTTCTATGACAAGAGTCATAAGATCAGTTTGGGATTGATAATGTATAGTACTGCCCATGTGAACAGTCTCTAATTTATCTTGTGATTTTTAACTTATGAGACAAGAAGGGTCTCTTCCTTTATCATTGCCTTTTAGGAAATTTTCCACATCTTTCAGTGTTTGAACTTCCTTGTGCTTGAGATTCTCCAGTTTTATGGTAAAGTTTGCACGAACCCTTAGGCCAGACTTTTCTGATCTCAGAGTCCCTTGCAGTCAATTTGCAGCTTCACATAAGCTGTTTACCTGATTTCTGGCACTGCTTCAATTGTAAATTTTATACTGCTTCTGTATAAAATGCCTTTATTCTCTCTGTATCTTTTATAAGATGTCCTTCTTAGTGTGAAAGAAGGAGAATGTGGATCATCTTGTGGAAGCTAATCACTGGCAGGAGCCTAGATGACTGGCGGAAAGATGTATGAGAAAGAAAAGCTATGAAGGGAGAACAGAGTGTAGGAACTGGGAATTGCTTTATGGTATAGGTTTTTAAATGAGAGGCTATCCTGTGGGAGCCCATCTCTCTTGAGGCAGTGAGCAGAGGCTTGTTCTCCATATTTATACCTAGAAGTATGGACTACTACTTCCTGCACAAACTGCTGGTTATTCTCTAGGAATATTTCCCCAAGCACCACAGTATAAAATATTACAGCATTCTGTGTTAAAGAGTAACTGTCCCCATCTCCATATGTCATATTGTTGTGAAAATGTGATTTTAAAAAATTGCTGGTTATAACTGGCTATTCTTTTCCTCTTTTCAACCAAAAAAAGTCATTTTTGTTCAGTGGAATAGAGACAACAACATGGTGTTAACCTCTCGGTTAAAATACAGTTGACACCAGTAAATTTTGCCATGAAAAGTTAAAATCTCTTGTTCAAAATATGTGGATCTTCTTAATGTGTTCATGTTGGAGAAAGCTGTCCACATCTCACTGCCAAAACTGAAAGAGAAGAATTAAACTATTTAAATGGTTAAATGTAATGATTCTACTCACAGTACATAACAGCACATATTCTTGATGGATTATTTTTTAGACAATTACCTTTCCTTAAGATACCTGATACAGTAAAGAATCAGATCAGCAATAGCACTTGGGAGATAGCAAGTCACCAAGAAACTTAATTTTCACTTAAAGTTTTATTTTATGAATAAGGTTAATCTATAATCCCAGATAACTACGTTTTTTTTCCATAGATGGCCAGTGTTTTTAATAAAGATTTAAAATGGAATATTTACATTGTAGTGCTTATTCAGAAGCATTTTGATTTAGGAAGGAGCTAGTTTGTTAGTTCACTGATGACATTTTTTGACAAACATTTTATGCCATTATCACAATAATCAGACTTGAATTTTTTGGAGTTTCTTCATGTGAATGAAAACTGAGTTAAAAGAAAGTAGGTATTTAGGGCCAGATGCTGTAATCCCAGCACTTTGAGAGGCTGAGGCAGGAGGATTACTTGAGACCAGAAATTCAAGACCAGTCTGGGCAACATAGTAAGACCCTGTCTCTAGCTGAGGTGGTGGTACACCCCTCTGGTCCCAGCTTCTCAGTGGGTCAGGGGTGGAGTGCTGCCTGGGCAACAGAACAAGACTGACTCAAAAAAAAAAAAAAAAAACATATTTAGAGTCACTGAAAACCATATTAGATACTGGGTTAATGCTGACTTAATTGGCTTAAGGAATTTTTATAGGTTTAAGATAAGTTTTCACAGACGAGGTTTATTTCAGAGGAAATAGAGAATTCTTTTAAAAGTGTTTTTGTTTTTTGCCTTTTCTGAATGTTAATGTCTAAGACAAAATTCAGGAAATGAGATGGCCTGTGGTAGCTTGGAAATTGCTAGATATGCTGACCATTTCCAGATCTTTTATCTACTGTAGTTAAGGGAAAGCCTATTTTAGAAGTTTGGCTTCAAGTTTCTGTTTTATATTGTTTAAGACAATAGTGCATACCCTCCTTTATAAGCTAATGCTAGGTTTTTGTCTTTACAAATTATTTACAGAAATAGCTAAAAGTGTACAGAAAACAGTAAATCCCTTCTGTACTCAGAATAACTTAATAGATGAAGCATCCAAAATATCTAAAAGTAAGGCTGGGCATGGTGGCTTTCACCTATAATCCCATCATTTTGGGAGGCCAAGGCAGCCGAATGAATCACTTGAGGTCAGGAGTTCAAGACCAGCCTGGCCAACATGGTGAAAACCCCATGTTGTATTTTTAGTCTCTACTAAAAACACAAAATTAGCTGCACACCTGTAGTCCCAGCTGCTCTGGAGGCTGAGGCAGCCGAATCACTTAAACCTGGGAGGTAGAGGTTGTAGTGAACCAAGATCACGCCACTGCACTCCAGCCTGGCGACAGAGCGAGACTCCTTTTCAAGAAGAATAAAAGAATTAAGGCACAGAATTGTCTGTATGGTCCTGATTCTGGCTAAAATACAATGGATGTATATATTGAAATTATGAAGCATAAGTGGCCAGTATCTACAGTTAGAATCTACGAGGCCTCCCTTTTGTACCTGTAGACTAGAATGTAACTGTTCTTGGTGCCTTTGAGTGTGGCTTAGAGGTGCTATTTCAAGCACAATTTAGACTAGGGTTGAACCACTCATTGTTCAAATCATTGGTGGGCACTGATGTAAAATATCACTACATCAGTCCACAAGCAACAGTAAGAAAATGTATTTATTAAAGGAAATAGAATTTGACTTTTTAGTGCATAATGATGTTCTGGGGCACAATGGGGAAAATTTTTTTGAAAATAGAGTATAGGGGCTGGGCGCAGTGGCTCACACCTGTAATCCAAGCACTTTGGAGGCCAAGGCAGACGGATCACCTGAGGTCGGGAGTTCAAGACCATCCTGGTCAATGTGGTGAAACCCCATCTCTATTAAAAATACAAAAAATTAGCTGGGCATGGTGGTGTGTGCCTGTAATCCCAGCTACTCAGGAGGCTGAGGCAGGAGAATTGCCTGAACCCAGGAGGCGGAGGTTGCAGTGAGCCGAGATTGCGCCATTGCACTCCAGCCTGGGTAACAAATGTGAAACTCCGTCTCAAAAAAAAAGAAAAGAAAAGAAGAGTATAACGATACATATTGGTATAATTGAGTAAAAGAAAAGAAGATTTGAGCAAATACAATTAAGATGTCTTATTTTTTGCATCAAGTAGTTTTTGCTGTGGTCTTGATTCTCCACAAAATAATTTTTTCTTTTTGCAGTTGAAAATTAACATAAATCAAGTGGTAATAAGGGATTAGTTTACCCTCAAACCAATGACTCCATGGCTATTGATCTTAAAGATTTTTAAAAAGCATATCAGACCCCCAGTTTCAGGAGTTGACTATAAATATTGCTGCTTGTCACCCCAGGACAGTAATGCCTTATAGTGGCACAAGTCAGCCTAAGTAGATTACCCATGGTGGAAGTGAATAAAGCTGCATGGGAATTTGCTTTTATGATACCTTTTATTTGCAAACTTCCAAAGAATCAAGTTTTATGTTTAAAACCAGCAATTCTACATATCTAGCTTTAGGAAGCTGCCCTTGCACATGAGACATTTTGTGTTAACCTGTTTTCTCCCCAGTCATCTTATTTGGCTGTGTTTAAAAGAGAGAGATGGTTTTTCACTGTGTTGCCCAGGCTGGTCTTGAACTCCTGGCCTCAAGTGATTTTCCCACCTTACCTTTCCGAAGTGCTGGGATTAGAGGCATGAGCCAGAGTGCCTGGTCTTAGCTGTGTTTTTAATTATGCCATTGTACATAATGCATGTACATAACATCAGACCATCTTCCTATCTCTTTTGAGCACATTTTTAAATGAAAACACGTTTTATGTGCTAAATTAGGTCCATTTACCACAGATTTAGCTTAATGTTTTTAAATGCGTTACCCCCATAGGACAATGTACAGCAGTACCAAGGTTGAGAAGAGGTAGCAGGGGAAGCAAACTTAACAGTCTTTGTATATGGTGAAACCCATCCCTCTCTTGCCCTCCAATGGAATGTTTACATTATTTGGTTATTATACAGCATATAATAGTGGTATAAACAGTATTATTAAACTGAAGGCATAATTTAAAGGAAGTATGATACATTGAGCTGATGTGGGCTCTTCCACTTTTATCTGTATGTTTCTTATTTGGGGACTTTGCATTGCTAGGGCTTCAGTATACTAACTTTGACACAGCTTCCAGAGAGGTTTGCAAACTTTTGGTTTTCCTCTCAAATCCATGGTAGCAGTTTGAAATGATTTTGTGGATAATGGATGTTTGGTCTTTATCATTTGCTGTGTATTGACAGTTTTAATTTTCAGCATTCTCTCATAAATGGTTTAATTTTTGGAATAATGGAAAACCAACCTTTGTCCAGTGATGAGAATAGCCGTATGATAAGAAAATTCACTCACTGTGCTTTAAATGAGTACTTGTTTTACCTTATTTAGTATTTCATAGACTTTGCATGATGTGGTTGGTACACTCCAAATTATGCATTCTTTGGTTTCCAAATCTTAACCTAAGATACTTTGTTAACTGACTGGTAGCCTAACAAAGAGACTTTTCTTCCTTTTTTTCTCTCTCCCCCCATTTTTTGGGGTAAATTTTGCAAAGATCAGTGCTGTTTCTCATTACTCTGAGGTAAAGCTGTTTTGGACAGCACAGCCTAACTTTACAGCTACACTATGGCTATGATATTTTTAAAATCCAAATTTATCAAAATTATTTTATGGAAAATCAAATCTAGTTTATTCATATGTGCTTAATTTTAGACTTATTTTGGGAAAAACTTTTCAAATTGGGTTCTTTTAAGCTTATTTTAAGCAGCCTAGAAAGAAGAATCTACTTAGCTAATGAAAGCTGAGACACTTTAATAAAAGCAGGATCTTGAGAGCATTTTTTCCCTTAAAAACTTTATACTCTGAGATTATCTGCAACAATAAAAATTAAGAAATCCCTGACTTTTGTAGAATTCCCAATGTAAAATTCTCACTGATTTGTGAGTGTGAGAAAAGTTATCTTTTGTTTGAATTCTGCTAGAACAGTTTAATTCCTTTCTAAGGATATGAAAAATGCATTGGAAAGTGTGTACATTTCAGACTCTTAGTTATCTGGACTGAAGGCACTGTTCTCACCATGGCCAGAAGAACGGGAGTATTCTATACATGAATCATGCTATATTTTAAATCAGGACATCACTTAAATATTAATGTTGTGTGTACAGATTTTTGTTCTGGGATTTTTTTTTTTTTTTTGCCTAAATAAATGTTATAAATTTTATTTGAAGTGTGTCTTGTCTACTTTTATTCTAGACATTCAGCTTTAAAAGTTAATATTAATGCAAACTTCAGATTCCTTAGTGATCCACTTGTAATAACTTTTCTGAAAAAGGCTAGTTTTACTGCAGAAGTTTTTTATTTTATTTTTTGAGACAGGGTCATACTCCTTCACTCAGGCTAGAGTGCAATGGCATGATTGTGGTCCATGCCACCACACTCAGCTAATTTTTTAATTTTTTGTAACGGAGTCTCCTTATGTTGCTCAGGCTGGTCTTGAATTCCTGTCCTCAAACTATCCTTGCCTCAGTCTCCTATACTGCTGGAATTACAGGTGTGAGCCACCACACCCAGCCAGCAGACGTTTTTAATACTGGAACATCATTTTTTTTTTTTTTCCACTCAGCAATGGCCTTGAACATTCATTTCCTTAAATACCTATGCTAGGCTGGGCACGGTGGCTCACACCTGTAATCCTAGCACTTTGGGAGGCTGAGGTTGGTGGATCACCTGAGGTCAGGAGTTTGAGACCAGTCTGGCCAACATAGTGAAACACTCTCTCAAAATTAGCTGGGTATGGTGGTGCGTGCTTATAATCCCAGCTACTTGGGAGGCTGAGACAGGAGAATTGCTTGAACCCAGGAGGTGGAGTTTGCAGTGAGCCAAGATCTCACCATTGCACTTCAGCCTGGGCAACTAGAGAGAAATTCCAAATAAAAAAAAACTTAAAAAACACAATCCCTTAACCCTCTAATATGGGCAAAAATTTACATTCCCATTTCTTCTTATAATCTCTTACAAAAGACATTTCATTCTCCTTACACACCTTATATGTAAACTTATTTTTTCAGTAGTCTCAATTACATATTACAATGTTAACTCTTAATGACTCTTACTTTTGGTGAAAACCTTGGTAAGTAAGGATTTTAATTATGTACTAAGTGTGGAGCCTAGCACCCAAACTGAAATGCAGATATGGTCTGACTCTTTCTAGCATTTAACTCCAAGTGTCCCAAGGCTTACCTAGCTGTAGAGCAGGCAAGCTGTACAGCTGTCATAGTGGCATTTTACAAAGCATTTAGGAGGCTTAATCACCTTTAAATTGTACAATATTTCTGACATAAATTTATTTTCATAAATTATTTGACCATGTACAACATGTTTAGACTTTCTGACTTGCTCTAAACATCCCTCTTTTTAAACAAACAGTTTTTACTTTAGGACAAGAATTTACCATATAACCTTTCTTATATAAATCTGTTTATAGCCTTCTTTACATAGCTAGGGGGCATGGCTAATTCCAGATGTCTCCAGGCCTTATTTAGAATTTAATGTCTTTAAAATAAATTGAACAATTTTCAAAAGTCAAAGCAGTTTATGGCCTTAAAACATTTGGCAAACCTAATATCTGACCTGTATAAGTTAGACAAAATGTCTTCATCATTAAAGCTGCCTTTTTTTTTTTTTTTTTTTTTTCTATCTCCAGTAATGGCTATAAGCAATAAAGCTGCTTTTATTTCTCAAAGACTACTAACGGTACATGAACTAAAAGGCATTCCAGTTTTTATTTTGCATTCAAAATATTTAAGTCCCTTTTTTGTTTAAGCCAATTAATTAAGAGCTCTTTTATGTAAACAACATTACAGATAACACACATAATTAGAGAGACAAAGACGATTCCTATAGTTGTAAGATTTTTCATTTGCCAGTTTTTAAGTTTCTTTTTTCTTTTCTTTCTTTCTTTCTTTTTTTTTTTTTTGAGACAATTTTGCTCTTGTTACCCAGGCTGGAGTGCAATGACGTGATCTCGGCTCACCGCAACCTCTGCCTCCTGGGTTCAAGCAATTCTCCTGCCTCAGCCTCCTGAGTAGCTGGGATTACAGGCACACACCACCATACCCAGCTAATTTTTGTATTTTTAGTAGAGACGGGGTTTCACCTTGTTGACCAGGATGGTCTCCATCTCTTGACCTCGTGATCCACCCACCTTGGTCTCCCAAAGTGCTGGGATTATAGGCGTGAGCCTCCACGCCATTGGTTATTGGCTTTATAGGGGAGTCCTTGGAAGAACAGGTCCAGGAAAGGGGTCTCTGGTGCCTCCTGTTTTTCCCAAGGAGTTCAGGCTGTTACAGCTTGAATATCTACTTTTAATTAAGCTGACTTTTAACCATAGCACTCTTTAATAAAGTCCTCTTAAAATTTCTTATTACCCAATTTTAGCCAGGCCTAAAGGTTGATATTTCTGGCTTTTGAACTTTACCAGAGGTAACCTCCCAGATGCTCAGAGAAAGGAAAATTTGAGATAGTGGAGAAGAGACTAGAGAAGATCATACAGATAATAAACCAGAAAGGTCTTACTTCTAAGCAGCAAATTAAACCTGTATGGCCAGTATAAAAGGGCAAAACCTTGACTACTGAGCTACAGCATAGGGCAGTGACTTTTTCCCTTCCCAGAAGAAGTCTAGAGTAGTTAATTTTGAGCTTGCAAAGGCTTTTAACTACTCAGGATAATTTTTAGAGCTAACTCTGACATAAACTCTAAAATTCCTGTTCCCTGGAACGTGGAGACCAAGCGAAAACAGTGCTACATGGTTACAAGGTCAAGCTCATAAGGACATAAAGCAAGATGGAGATAAACACTGATTTTTACCATTCATTCAACCATTTTTGTGCAGAGAGAAGCCAGAAATTTTGTTAGAAATTCCTACCCTGTTGCCCACATGCCAGGCTTCTGGGTTCCCTTTCTCTGAGCAGCCCTAGTGACTCAGCTTGCTGCACCATTGCTCTGGGGGCCAAACCACATCCATAAAAGGAACTTGTCTTTCTTTGTTCTGGCTAGAGCAAAATACATGTTACAAAACAGATATTAGCCACTCTGTTTAGCACCCAATATCAAACTAGCAAGTCTCAAAACTTGCCTCTGGTTGGGCCCCATCATCGTTAATCCAACCTTCAACCAGGAAATTTCAACAGTCTCTGGGCAAGATGGCTGCCCTGAGTAATAGAAAAGATAAGAAAGGGAACCAGGCACCATGGCTCCCACCTGTAATTCCAGCACTTTGGGAGGCCGAGGTGGGTGGATCACGAGGTCAAGAGATCGAGACCATCCTGGTCAACACAGTGAAACCCCGTCTCTACTAAAAATACAAAAAATTAGCTGGGCATGGTGGCGCATGCCTGTAATCCCAGCTACTCAGGAGGCTGAGGCAGGAGATTTGCCTGAACCCAGGAGGCGGAGGTTGCGGTGAGCCGAGATCGCGCCATTGCACTCCAGCCTGGGTAATGAGAGCGAAACTCCATCTCAAAAAAAAAAAAAATACAAAACATTAGCTGGCTGTGGTGGCAGGCACCTATAGTCCTAGCTACTCAGGAGACTGAGGCAGGAGAATTGCTTGAGCTTGGGAACCAAGGTTGCAGTAACCCTAGATCACATCACAGCACTCCAGCCTGGATGATAGAGCAAGACTCCATCTCAAAAGAAAAAAAGGAAGGGAAATGGGAGAGAAAAGCATTGCCTGCAGCAGGGTGGGGAAGGCAAAATGATCAGGGAAGCCAGAGAAATACCTATCCATTGCAGTGACACTGAGAAAAGTTCACGTAGCTGCTTCTCAGTAGCAAAGGAATCTTTTCCAGCAGTCTCATCAGCTCTCAAGTTTCCCCTTTTAGGGAGGAAAAAGCTCCCCGCCGTCCCTTGATCCTATACGTGCCTAATGGTCACGCACAGCCATTAGCAAAGAGTGCAAGGCAGATTATTCCAAAGAGAGTAGCGGTTGACAATGCTGTAGTGCCAAACCTGTTCTTAGCCAAAAGGGGCTTACCAAGAGCCCTCATTTACCCCACCACTGTAACTGAACTTACTCTGCAACACCCCCACCCCCAAAAAAACTACCCAAACCTATAAAACCAGCTCCTATCTCACCGCCCTTAGCTAATGCACTTTTCCCCCTTAGCCCACCTGCACCCAGGTGAATAAACAGCCATGTTGCTCACACAAAGCCTGTTTGGGGCCGGGTGCGGTGGCTCACGCCTATACCAGCACTTTGGGAGGCCAAGGCGAATGGATCACGAGGTCAAGAGATTGAGACCAGCCTGGTCAACATGGTGAAACCCCATCTCTATTAAAAATACAAAAATTAGCTGGGCATGGTGGCGCGCACCTGTAGTCCCAGCGACTCAGGAGGCTGAGGCAGGAGAATTGATTGAACCCAGGAGGCGGAGGTTGTGGTGAGCCAAGATCGCGCCATTGCACTCCAGCCTGGGTAACAAGAGCAAAACTCCATCTCAAAACAACAACAACAACAAAAAAACAAAACTGTGAAGCTCCAAAATCTGAGAGGGAGCTTACCCATGATCCCCAGCCACTCTGGGAAATCCATGGACACAAGTGGGTCCTACAGGTACCTTGCGTGTTCACTCAGCTCTCCCAGGGGTCGCTCGAAGCTCCACTTCAGAACCCACTTCTGACACCATCTACTAAAAGAAAAACAGCCGAATTAAATTTAAAGGGGTTTAATTGAGCGATGAACAATTCGTGAATCAGGCCGTTCCCCAAATCACAGCAAATTCATAGAGACTCCTTGGGTGCTGCCTGGCCAGAAGAAATTTATAGACAAAAAAGGTAAAGTGATGTACAGGAATCAGAAGTGAGGTACAGAAACAGTGAGATTGGGCTAAGTGAGGTGGCTCATGCCTATAATCCCAGCAGTTTGGGAGGCTGAGGCAGGCAGATCACAATGTCAGGAGTTCAAGACCAGCCTGGCCAACATGGTGAAACCCTGTCTCTACTAACATTTTTTTTTTAGCCAGGCATGGTAGTGGGTGCCTGTAGGCCAAGCTACTCAGAAGGCTGAGGCGGAATTGCTTGAACCTGGGAAGCAGAGGTTAGAGTGAGCCAAGATTGAGCCACTGCACTCCAGCCTGGGCAACAGAACCAGGCTTTGTCTCAAAAAAAAAAAGAAAAAAAAAAAAAGGAAAAGAAAATAGAAACAGTGAGATTGGTTACAG